TGTGCTCTCTATTGTGGCTTAAAGTCGGGCACAACTTGGTAAAGCCGGGTGTAGAATACGAATAGGATATATATATATATATATATATATATATTGATGATCCTGTATATGATATAACTCCCTTGTGAAGATTTTATCAAAATTTGAATGATTTTTTTATATTAAAATAATCATTAAACTAAATTATACTTTTAGTCTTTTATTTTTTTTTAGTTTCATTTTGATCTTTTATTTGTTAAAATGTTTATTATGATTTTTTATTTTTTATATTTGGATCGATTTAGTCATTTCAAAATAATGATCATTTTCAATTTTGAAACATGATTTTGAATCAATTTTTGATTTAAGATGTGAAATTTGTAATATTAAATTTACCAATACAAATATCATAAAATTGAATTGATGTGACATCCTTTACCCTACATACGTATATAACTAATACTTCGTCACAAAGATATAAAAATCTCTAAATAATTTGCATAAATAACCAAAGTGAAATATTTAACATGAGGTAAAGAGTCTCGTATAACAAACACTTAAACAAAACTTAATACTAAGGTGGAAATGTAAACTAAACACAAACCCTATCATAAGAACTAATAAAGAATATCCATAGTCTAAGTCTCGATGTCATATGTCTTATTAGAATAATTCCAAGGCAAGGATTAAACCTTGTCACCAGCAATATCAAGATTTTGATGAGTATCATCACCTGTAACAACATTCATAACTGTCAAGTGGGTCACCAATTTATTTGGGCTCACATTGATTTAAAAATAAAAATAAAAAAGCCCAATATGCTAATTGTATTAGCATCAGGTGTAGTAACTCTTGGTATGTGAGATCAACCTTTCAGAAGAAGGAGAAATCAGAGAGCGCATCTGCGTGCGTTGTGCCACTTTTTGAAATAGAGAGAGGAAGAAAAATTCTGTGAGAAGGAGTGAAGCAACCAACTTTTGAGAAGAAGTGTTTGATACCAATTTTTGTGTATTTTGATTCTCTCTATTGTTTAGTTAGATACATATTTGAGATTTTTCTTGTATTGTTATCCAATATATTAGTGAGAGTGGTCCTCGGTGATTCCAAGAAGACTTGTGGTGTATCCATTGATTATTATAAGTGAAATTTTTACTGGACTAGGTCTCGTGGGTTTTTACCTCACATTGAGAGTTTTCCTATGTTAAAAATTTGTTACCTGTTGATTTCTATTTTTTTTTTTGTACATCTTGCTGAAATTATCTTGTTGCTTACAAAGCCTATGATTGTTTATATAAGGAAAAAAGGAGATGCAGTTTTACTTCCGCTTAATTATTATTATTCTGTTATCTTTCCCAACAATAACAAGACATAAAAAAAAGGGAGTGAGACTTCTCACTCTAGCTCATGACATGAAATAACAAACTAATAGTCAAAACTCACTCAATACATTATTTATAACAATAGCATGGTATTAACATATGATAAATGAATAACTAAACTCCTCACTCTAGCGCATTCCATATTAAACAATTTGTTGATTTGCATGCATATGATGCATGTCACATACTCTATCATATCATGAATCATTATACATACTCAACAATTTGTCACATATACGATTTTTCATACATACAATTTTCTATACATATGACTTGTCATACATGAGTTATGTATCTCATTCAATCATCAATATGTCAAAAATATCCATGTTTATTTCACACTCATTCACATTCAAATTACTTCAATCCGAATAAAAGAACAAGTTGCATATACAGGGTAGTGCTGATGGAAGTCAATCCGTACTCGATGCACTCATCTAAAGAGCACTCATAACTCTCAACATGGCTCATGTCATGTCCGACAGGATAGTAGTAGTAGGGCATGAGTGATATAAAGACTTGCAACCTCTATAGCATCCAACGAGACATATCCCGCACTCGATGCAAACAAAATAGAGAGTGAACTCTACTCTTGGGCCTCACAATGCCTGACGAGATGTAAATGGCGCTTGACACCATATCAAAAACTCAACTTATAGAATTGTGATTTGCGAACAATGAACCCAAAACATGCATTCATCATTTCAAATGAGTAAAATAGTGTGAAACACTCATAATAAGCACGAATAGAACATGAATTACATATAATTACAATTAGGGATGGCAATGGGGAGGGTCGGGTATGGGTTTTATGATACCCATTCCCGTCCCTACGACTCAAACTCATCCCATCCTCGTAGCCGTACCCGTCGAGTATATAATTTTCATCCTCATCCTCATCTTTGTCGAGTATCAGGTATACTCGTACCCATCAATTTTTATTTTTATTTTGCAAAAAAAATACACAATATTTTTAATTTATTTTCCATTATATTAAAATTATAATTAGGTTGTTTCTCTATCTCATATTTTAAGTAAGGGACTTCTTAATAATTAAACAACTATAAATGTTTCACATTATAATAAATAATCACACATAATAAAATATTAAAATTCTTTAACATAATTAGATCGGGGATGAGTATTAAATCGGGATGGGGATGGGGACGGGTACGAGGCGGGTAAGTATATACTTGTACTCGTACCCGATTTAATATATCGGATTTTACCCGTACTCATACCTGTACTCGATTAAATCGGGTATTTCCCATCAAAAGCGGGACGGATTCGGGTATTACCCACGGATACGGGTTTATGTGTCATCCCTAATTACAATTACTCATATATTATACCCAAAACACATAACTTTAGGGTTTCCATAGGAACTCATAGGCAATTCAAAACATGCCAAGAAGGCTTATCACATGAAATTAATTATAAACAATTGCAATTAACATCAAGAGAAGAGTTGAAGTGTCATGAGACTGACAATGAATCACTAACAAAAAATAATACGGTTTCCTCCTTCATACAACATATTAAACATACAGAGATTGGGATCAATCTCACTATTCATCAAATTGCCCCATGTCCTAGAGCGAGAATTCTCAATTCCCTTTACCTCCATCAACAAAAAGCAGAAGAATGCAGGTATCAAGATGATCTCCTCTTAGCTTTGCATTTCTCTTTTTAATTTGAAACCTAACTCAAATTCCCTTTAACTCATCCATAGTTACTCAATCTTAACTATAATTACATATCTCTTTCCTTCACTTAATAATAATAATAATAATAATAATAATATAATAGTAATAATAATAAAACAATATATTATATCATGGTTCTCAAATAATTTAACTAAAACAAATATAAGAATATAATTTTGATATCAAAATAATGTGAAATTAGATTTTAAAAAATTTTCAATTGTTTTATAAATTTATTTTTATGTGATTTTTACTATGTTTACAATAGTTTTTTTTGTGTTGAATTGCATTTTTTTTTATTGAATTGCATTTGTTTTCATATAATTAAATTTAATGAATTTTTCGTCTTAAATCAGTTAAGAAATATTTAAAATCGTGTCTCAAAAATAAAAATAATCATTATTTCAAAAGGACTAAATTGACTCAAAATTAAAAATTAAAATATTAAAATTTTTAAGAGATAAATGGCTAAAATAAATTTTAAAAATAAAATAAAGAGACAAAAATATAATTTAGCCTAATTATTATAATTTGTAAACTTAATGACCAAATTGTACTTTTGGTCATTCTATTTTCTTTCATCTACAATTTTGATTATCTATTTTAAAATAAAAACACTTAATATTCCTAATTTTAAAAATATGAAATAAAATAAAAACACTTAATATTCCTAATTTTAAAAATATGAAATTTTAGTTTTTTTGTCAGATTAACATCTATTAATTATTAAATTAAAATATTTAATCATACTTAAATGATATAATATTTAGTAACATAATATTTAAAATTAACAAAAAAAAAACTAAAAAAATCGTACAAATTTTTTTAAAAAATAAATATTAATTACTCATTAAAATAAATATAAATAAAGATATTTTATAAGTTATTTTTCGTTTAATTTTTAATAACTACATAACATGTGATCAAATATTACGTTAACATTAACAAACATTAATTAATAGAAAGTCTAAAATTTTATTTTAAAAATAAAAAATTAAATATTTTTATTTTAAAATATGACCAAAATTATGAATTGACATGACACTCTCCACTATTCTTTATTAAAAAAGAAATTAATGGTGAAGACCCTTTCATGTTTTTGTATTTTTCTGTATTAGTTTTTATATATTTCTGTTACCAATCAGAATCGATTTTGCTTCATCCCAATTTTTATTGAATCTGTCTCTTCAATCTTCATGTTGGCGGTTGGTCGGCTAATTCAAACAAGAAAATATTGGAATTTGGAATGGACAACAATGCTCAAACATTGGACCCCAAGGTACAAGAAAGGTTGCCAAACCTATTTTGGCTAATTATTTTTATAATCACGAACTCTCGCTCTCCTTTTATATCTCTACGATGTGGGACACATCCAATGCTATTTCAAAGGTCCACAAATTTCGTTTGGTTCACTTATTTCACTCGTTCGTCTTGTCTTGTTCCCGTCCGTGCTTGCGCGACAAAGAAAAGATTATCTTTCAAGTACAGATTGGATTCTTGTGCTCATCAAATATGTTCCACCAGCAAAACTCCAAACATCAAATACATAAACTTCGTCTTGGTTTCACCGTGCTCTGTGTATTGCTACTACTATTTATTAGTATTAAATAAAAAAACCTTTATCATGTCACTCTCCTTCATGCCTTAAAATGAGGGAACCTTTTTCTTGGATAAGAAGACTTCTTGGTTTTCGAAATTTCTGAATTGGGTTATCTATCTCATCATTCCTTGCTTCTAACATTTTTTTAGTTTCCCATTAAGAACATAGCAAGTGAAGTTTCCTAATAAGGCAAAGAAAGAATGTCAATTTTCTACTTTTATTAATTTAAATATCTCTTAGGAAAAAAACTAATGACTAAGTGCATGTTTTGTTTATTGTTCAGAATTTATAAATTCACAGTAAATAAAAAAGACAAAAATTCATATTTCTCAAATGTAATTAAATACATTGAAATGTGTGAATTTATATATATATATATATATATATATATATATAAATATATAAATACACCTTAATTCCTCAAAATATTTAAATCTATTTAAAGATTAATCTCTTCGAATACATATTTAAAAGTTAAATTAATGACATATATTCAAGTAACAACATTATTCATTAACCATATCATTCATGTCACTAAGAGAATGTAAATTAATTTAAAAAAAATACTTCTAAGGTGTGATTGTACATTTAAATGTGTGAATTTTCATTTGTAGTGATGCATACAAGTTTCTAAACATATCCTAAATCTTCAAAGTATTTAGATCTATTTAGTATTAATATCTCTTAAAAAATTATTTTTCATATATACATATTTAAGAATTTAACCTTGTGATCATATATTTAAAAAACAAGATTATTGGTGAACCATGTCATTCATGTCATCAAAAGAAAGTAAATTAATTTGACAAAACAAGTCCTGCCACTCCCTTCGAGGCATTTCATAGCCACTTATTAGCCACTACGATAAGTCCTTATCTTTTTTTGATCCATTTTTTTATTTCTTTATTTTTTGGATCCATAGATAAGTCCTTATCTGAAACAACCCATGTCCATGAGAATCAGCAATCGTCCTTAAAATGAAGATAATATATATTTTAATGAATAACTTGTCCCACTCTGCCCATAGGGATTGGTTTTCTGGTTTACTGCATTCGGTATTTGGTTTTGCACATGCACAATAATTGAATTTTTTAGTATTTCCTAAGGAAGAGACTTGGACAGGGTTGTTTATAAACTGTAAATTGTAAAGGGTGCCAAACAAGCAGAGCTAATCATTGTTATTCTGCATATATACCAATCGGAGAAGAACTATAAGGTCTACTTAAATATCTCTTTGCATATTGAATTGTTTTCTTACCTAAAGCTCTCTTTAATTTCTTCAGCTTGCAGGATTTCTGGAGTAGTTAACATGGAGCCACAGTGTGCAATCAAGAAAGATGCCACTGAAGTAATATATTTTGTCATAATAATCTTTTTTTCTTTTCCACCTACCCTTACCATCTTACTCATTCTGCCAAAACCAATTGTACTGTTGTTTTTAATAAGAAATTTTGCTTCAGTAATAGGAATTATTAACATAAAGTTTCAATTTCGATTGAAGAATACTATAATTAACACTTAAATAATATTGTATCAAACTTTTCTCCATATTTCCATCAATAATATGTATAGTAAGAAGTTTAGTAATTATCATCTTTGGGTTGTGTTGTGCAGTTAATAGGTAATACCCCAATGGTATATCTGAACAATATAGTGGAGGGGTGTGTAGCACGCATCGCTGCTAAGTTAGAGTCCATGCAACCGTGCTTCAGTATCAAAGATAGGCATGACAATCCTTTACAAACTAAAGATATGGGAATTTCAAATATCAGAATTTTTAATTATAATCCTCTTTTTTGCACTCAGGACAGCATTTAGCATGATTAAAGATGCTGAGGAAAAAGGCCTCATTACTCCGGGAAAGGTTAGTCAGTCACGATTGACTTTAGGTATCTAGTAAGTAGTAACTAGATTTTTTTTGGGGGGGTGTAAATTTTAGGGAAAAGGATTGTGCCCAAAAATTCTTTAAAAAAAAAAAAAGAAAGAAAAGAAAGAAACTTACGTCCACTTATTGTTTAAAACCAATCAAAAAATGTCACATGGATTAAAATCTAGTGGCATGCAGAAGGACTTATATTTGACCGTTATTGTTGTTATATTCGACCCTCGTTATTATTATTATTTTTTTCTACCAATAAAAAGAATGTCAAATCTATTGACAGAAAAAACTTAAAACTGATCAAACTAGTAAAAAAAAATCACTTTTTTTTCGATATGAATCAAAACACACTTTTAATATATTTATATTTTTCCTGTTATACTTCATAAAATTTAATTTTTAAGATTTTAATGGTAATACATTCTCAATCGATCATGAATGATCAAATTTTCAATAATTATTAATTATCAAAGTTAACATATTTATCATACATGATAACAAGTAATTAAAAGACAACCAGTGTATATATATCATCTTGTAACTCTAGCGCAGTAGTATTTTGAACTTTTGATAATAATAGTACAATATCATATATGTTAGGTATTTCAGTCATCTACTATCGAATGTATTGGATTGTTCTATCTTAATCAGCTATTTCAAGTTTTGATGTTATCTCATCAGTTAATTCGTATCGATAAATTATAAATTTCTAACATTGGTATGATCATTCAACTATAAATATTTACTAGTAATGTTAAAGAGGTAGTTGTTTTGAGTTATTTTTAGAAAATATGAAAGTAAGAATATTTATTTCAACATTTATAAAGATCATGTAATAACATTTTCGGATATATATCTTCTATTTATGAAAAGGTAATATTTTTATGAGTAGAATAGTTTTATTCTAATGATGGAGAGGTGGATAAATGATATTTCCCTAAGAATATATTGGAAGTTATATGTTATAGTCCTTGTAACTTCCATTTTTATTTAAATTGTTTTAAATTTTAGAAAGTATTCCAAAAAATATTAAAATGAGCTAAACATTTTTTTTATAATATTTTTTAGAATAACATTTCAGGTTATATTGTTCTTAGAAATATAATTCCTGAAAATATAATATCATTTCTTGAAACAAATATCTTTTGGTGTTAAACTATTTTGTTAGTTATCTAATAAAAAATATATTAAAAAAATCAGAATGTTAAATAAAACTGAATAATTGAGCCAAATAGAACGGTAAAAAAGGAAACTGATATGATATTTTGACCAAACCGCTTGGTTGGATTATGTATAAAGGTAAAACAACCGATCCCTACTTATACGAAGGAGACAAATAAAACCCAATCCAACCGCTAACAATGACGTGCGATAATAATCTTATTTTTGTTAAAATTAATTCCATTACATGCTCTTTCATGATTGGTGAGTCTTACTGTGTTTTCATAATAATGGTTGAAAATTAGAGCGTTCTTGTTGAGGCTACAAGTGGGAACACGGGCATTGGAATGGCATTCGTAGCAACGTTGAAGGGTTATAAAGTGATAGTGGCTATGCCAGCTTCTGTAAGTCTCGAGAGAAAAATAGTACTGCGAGCCTTTGGAGCTGAAGTGTATCTAACGGATCCTGCCAAAGGAACCGATGCAGTTATTAGGAAGGCCCATGAGATAGTAAATAAGACGCCCGGGAGTTACATGCTCAAGCAGATTGATAATCCTGCCAATCCAAAAGTATATATTAATCACTTATGTAATTCATACATATTATATGCTATCATTTAGACATTGACTATGATCACTTATGTGATAGATTCATTATGAGACCACTGGCCCTGAGATTTGGAGAGACTCGGGAGGGAAAGTTGATGCTTTGGTTGCAGGGATAGGAACTGGGGGTACCATAACGGGTGCTGGCAGATTCCTCAAGGAGAGAAACCCCCATATCAAGGTTTTACTCTTTACCTTACCAAACATCATTTTATTTTGGACTATATTTACGTAGAGTTCCTTAGGTGCGACTTCAGTACTAGCTAGCTACACCTAAAAGGACTGTGCTAAGTCTTTTCGAGCTAAAATGGATAAATGAGATGGAACCAAGTTTGCTTTACTAGTTGGATAAAACTTACATGCAATATATGATATAGCTGGGGATATTTTTCAGTAGCATCACCGTAATAATATATGAAAGAGTGGATTTTACTATATGTTACCATGTATTATGATAGTATTCGTAAGTTTTGACCTTATTAATATCTTAAGCTAAAGCCACGTTTGCGTTGCTCTTTTGGACCCAGCTGTACGGCATAGAACCAGTAGAAAGTGCAGTCTTGAGTGGAGGACCTCCAGGTAATTTTACTATTATACACTTATGCCCTGAGTGAATGAAAGTCCAATCCAAAACCCATTTTAACTTTTTAGAATTTAGACCGTGTTCCAGAACATATATATTTTTTTCATTTTAAAATAGGTGTTTCGGAACACAATTTTTAACATTCCCCAATAGTTGTTCCAAAAACATCTTTAACATTTCAAATTGAGTGATCGAAAACATATTTGGGAATAGGTTTTAGGGGTAGTTTTTAAATTTTAAGATTTTAGAAGGGTGAAAAGGAAGCAATAGTATGGTGAAAAAAGTAGAAGCCTGATTTGTATTAAACCGAGTATTTGTGCAAATCCACATCTCTTTTTAGGTTATTTTTAAAATCAAAGCACAAAGGATTCATAATGCTTGAAAACATGTAAAATCAAGTAATGCAGTTGGAACTTTTTGAATTATTCAACCATATATGCAACAAAGAGAAGGCCTTGAACCCATTATTCTTTAGGTTAAGCTAGATTAGAATTAAAGTCATCAGCTGCTAAATGTTGTTATTAGTTGAATTGTAAAATCGAGTTTTTCATTAGGATGGCAAACATCAACTCTGAAAATTTGTCCTTTAAATTTGGCAAGACATTAGACAACAGTGAGACTGTTTACTGACTGTGTTTGTACATTTGTACACATGTTCAGGTGATCACCTAATTCAAGGCATTGGTAATGGTCTCATTCCGAGCGTACTGGATATTAATCTCCTAGATGAAGTTATTCAGGTAGCTCTCAACACTATTGTCACTCAATATTCAATAATGTCTAATCCTTGTCAAAAGTTTGTTTTCCCATTTTCTTGAACTCCGATTCATAGCATGTGTTTCTATAACCAAATGGGTTAAATTAGATATTTGGACATGTATAGCCTACTATTTGACATTTCACAGTGAGACATGGTGATTTTGCATCCATGTTTCTGAAAACATGTTTAGATTTTATAGTTATATATAAATTGATACATGCTTGAAAAAATAGAAGTATCACTGAATTGCTAGCAAGAAAATCCCCCCAACCTTGTGCATTTAAAAGCAAAGAATCACAATCATGGCCTTAGTTGCGGGCTAAGACTGTAAAAGGTTCTACAAATAGTACAAGAAAGTTATTCAGCACACACACACAAAATGTTTGCTCTGGTAACTACTATTACAAGGCATTCCCTCAAGAGTAACAAAGTTTTGTAAACTGCAGATATCAAGTGAAGAAGCTATAGAAACTGCTAAGCTGCTTGCTTTAAAAGAAGGTTTGTTGGTATGGCAATGATAATTTGTGGCTCTTCTTAATGATTTCACAGTTGTTTCTATACACTTATTCCTGAAAATTACTCTATAGTTCTCTAATTCCAGGTATTTAAATTATTAGTTTTCATGTTGATTATACTATTGTTTCTTTTTGCAGATGGGAATTTCATCAGGAGCTGCAGCAGCAGCTGCCATAAAATTGGGGAAAAGACCAGAAAATACTGGAAAACTCATCGTTGTGAGTTTCTAATCTTTGGCAAGTATGTTTGGCAATAACTATGAGATGATTATACTCTAAAAATTTACCCAAAAAATATTTGTATTATATCTTCAGACAAGTTTTTTTCCCTTTGTCTCCAATGATTTCAAAGCAGAGCACTTCACATATAATGATAAATTAGGATATTTTCTTTGTTGGTCATCATAGATTCATATATGGAGTGAAAAAGGCTAGTCCTGTTGGGAAGATTTGGATCTTCTAGACAATAAATGTGATTCATTCTTGAGCATGTCCAATTATCCTCCTCAAATCTCTATCCTAAAACACACAACAATTGTGAAAAATATTACATGACAAATCTTGAGAAAGTGTATTATGTGTTGCTAGCATTCTTCAGCTGAAATATTTGGGTTTGAGATTTTTGTTGTTGTTGAGAGATTCATCTTTGAGTGATTATTACTTTCAACCTTTCTCGGATACGAAGTTACAACCAGATACTCTACTCTATTGAATGTTCCAAATTGTGTGTGAATTTGTGATAGAGGTACAGATGATTTGCATATGCTAAATCTTGTCATTTTCTTCTGTTGCTATGCAGGTGGTATTTCCCAGTTATGGGGAGCGTTATTTATCTTCACCATTGTTTGAATCCATTAGGCATGAAGCTCAACAAATGACATTTGATTAATCTCAATGTAATTGTGCTCTACGAATTTTATAGTATTTATAGTTTTTGTTTACTGATCCCCTGTTCAGGACGATCGATCCATGTATTTAACATCAATAATTCATAAGAATTTTATAGGAAAAGCCTCTGGTGATCCCTTATTCAGAACACTAAGAAATCTCCATATGTCTTTTTTTATCGATACAAGTTTTTTTTATTTTTTATTGCGAAATCTCCGTATGTTTTATTACAATATAAATTATATTTTATATTTAATTAATATTATATTACAAGATTATTTTAGTTATTGATAATTTATTTTAAAATTATTAAATTTAATTTATAAATATGATAATTATAAATTAAGTTAGATAACAATTGAAAAATTGTTAAGAATCTTCTTATCAAAGAAAAATGTTTTTGTTGATTATGACTCAAAATTTAATATATCATTTATATATTCTATAAAGTCTTTCATCTGTATAGTCTTATAGGTTCAGTCTGTCTTCATTTATTTAATGGGTTCAAACTATACATATTGTCTGTCTCCATTAGTCTGATGAATTCAGACTATCTTCATTAGTTTGATGAGTTTAATTTGTCTTTATTAGTACGATGGATTTAGTCTATCATGTTTTAAGAGACTTAATCTTAGTGCCTTTGATCCTTTTATATATATGTGTGTGTGTGTGTGAATCCTTTGTTTAGTGTGACCTAGAGAGAAAGCAAGAGAGTAAAGTGCTAAATATGAGCAAAGAGTTAGGAAGAAAATATGTAAAGAAAAATGGAGAATTAGTTAGAGTGATAAAGAGAGGTTACTTTGTTGTGAAGACTCATCTTGATTTTTAGATAGTGAAATTTATTCTCTCTCGTAGATGCAGCCTGAAATTGGTTGAACTACATAAATTTATTGTATTCTCTTTTCTGATTTTTTTTTTTTTGTTTTGCTCTTGTGATTTTCTTTTTTCTACATTTTTTGATTTGTTTTTATATTGAATATGTTCTTGTTTGTTTTCTTTCTTATTTGGAGCCAACACATCTAAAAGCACTTTTCTTATAAAGAATTCCTTAAAATTTGTCTAATCATATTTAATATTTTCCATGGATTTAAATTTATAAGTAAATTATTTTAGCTTAGATTGTATGAAATTGTATTCTCTCAATAATTTGTAAGCAAATTAAATTCTTCTGTTTTTAAGTTTATGAAAAATTGGTCATTTCCTACATCTTATATTCAAAATCGTCAAAGTTTTGCTGTTTACTCAAAATCTTAACATATTTGATTAACTGTGTTGTTTTAAGTAATTCGTTTGAGAGTTGAGTTGTGAAATAGAAAATAACGTTTTTTATTAATTACAATAACAGCAATAAAATTTAAATTTTGATTTAAAATTATGCACACACTACTCCAACATATTATCACTAGGCCAATTTGAGTTAATCTCAATGTATATGTTGACTTTGTATTGTAAGCAACGACATATGCAACAAATTAAATTTTTTTTATCCTAATTATAAATAATAATTATTAATTTTTAAAATTACTTAGAATTAATTTTTTTTATATCTTTTATTTATTGTGAATTTTATTTCTTATATTTATAATTAACATTAAATATAAAAATCATTTATAATAACAAGTGTGTTCCGAATAAAATTTAAATTTATAGTATAACTAATTAAAAGTAATCATATTAATTATATTTCTTAGTCACGATGATTTGTCATATTATTATATTTAAAAGATTATATGTACTATATTTTAATTTTTTTTATCAAAACAGATTTTTTTTTTTTTGTTGCTATTTCTAGCTAATAGGTAGAATGACTCATTATAGATTCCAAATACTTTTCTTGATAAAAAAAAAGATTATAAATACTTTTAAATGTTTCGAAAACGTGTACTGAAATAAACATTTGTAAATTTTAGTTTACTTTCTTTTTAAAAAAAAAGTTACCACCTTTTTAAGAGAAGTTTGTTAAAGGAAAAACAATAGTAATTTTTCTTAATTTTAATATTAACTACATAAAAAACAAACATATATTTTGTATAATGTATAAATTAAAATACCAATATTTATGTAAGTGTTAAAAATCATTTTAAAATTACAAGTTATATAATTATAAGATTATAAGTCTTTATATGTTTTGAAGTTGTAACAACCCATTTATATATTGTACAATACAACAATTATCGATGTAACTTAAGACTGTAAATATGCAAATACTTGAACTTGTATTATACTGCAAGTATATAAGAAAATATATGTAATATAAATACAGTAATCCAATAAGGTAACTTATATATCCTAAGTTCTCAGTCAAGCAACTACAGTATAACTAGAAAACTACCACTCACAGGTAGTCCTTAACACATCCAACTCTAATGCCACTATATGGCCTCTACTATCACACTCTAGCCTTATCCCTGTCTTACACTCACACCATGCATAATTATCGCAATACATGTCACATAAAAACACATATGGTTAAGTTAGAGTAAAAAAGAAATAATGTAATTACATTACATCATCACTCATCATGAACAACATAGCAAATGAACAACACCAATCAACACAATGCAACTCTCAATATCAACACAACATCACATATCATCTTAACTCAACTCAACATATGAACAATATAGCCAACTCAACACACATCACGTGATTAACACAACAACTCATATGCGTCGTTATTCATTTCAATTAGAAGATCTCCTACAACACAAGGTGAGCAGTTTAAGTGGCTTGATCCTACCAAACTGATAACACAAAATGTTTTTTTTGGACTTGCTAGATCAACAACAAATTGGATATAAATCCACAACACAACAACTCAGTTTCTCAAATGTTGTCACTTAAACAAGAAGTATAGTACTAATGTCAAGATAAAATAGTTGGGTGCAGGCCTACCACGACATTAGCTAGCTTAACCAAGTCTCATATGGGATTAGTCCATGGATTATCTTCCAAGTACTATAACCTTCTGATTCTTGGTTAGAAACTAAGCTTTTAACTTCGTACTTTATTTGATTGGTCACTTGTAATCAGTATAGCTCGACCTGACTCCTATACTATGATCACTTTATACATGTGTGTTTCGACATTGCCCATAAACGACACTAACAAATTCTTGAAGGAGAACGACACAACATCCATTTCAAGGGTCAACTTCCCAATAAAGATTTTTTAACAAGTTAAGCTTTTGGAACACCACAACACAATATTCACATATAAAGGGATATGCAACTTTCAAAAATATCTCCCCTAGTTCTAAGTGGTCAATACAACTCAACTTTTTATCAACATGCATCTTAACAATACATCATGCTTTCAACATAATTACACGGCCAACCCACAACATAGTCAACGCACAACATAGCCAACACAAAACTTACAACTCATGTTTACTTCATCATATACTACATGATCACCACAACTCGTTCATCATATTATCATATAAAACTCAAACCAATAAGAAAACAACACTTCATCAACCATACCATCATGTTTTACTTCAACAACTCACGTTTGACGCTACTCACCTTACGCTCGACATCATTCAATCAAGGAGTTCTTTACCTCACCCACGCCTAACGCTACACAACCTACGCTAAACGTGGCTAAGGCAGGGGCCCTAGCACCTCATACTTGGCATGATAAAACACCACACCTAACTCCACCACAAGCATAAAGTCTCTACCTAAGCCTCATCCGACATCATCACCTCAATGCCTAGTGAAATCCAAACAATGAGTTCTAGCTTGGCCACGTTATTGAACACCACACAACATTGGGTCCAACATCATCAAGTTAGAGAGCTCTTTAGGCATCCTCACCTGACACCACGTCTTGCGCAATCCCAACTCAAAACAAGTCTCTCTGATTAGTCTGACGCCATCGACCCTATGCCTAGTGTAATCAAAACAAAGAGCCTTAAGTTAGAACAATGTCTGGGGCCTTGAAGGTGTGCTCGACGCGATATCAAAATTTTGCATATGCAAAACTAGATTTTGAGCTACAACCTGAAATCCAACACATAAACATATACATCACAATCATCTTAAAATGTACACAAACTCAACATGCAACTTCAAATAAACTCAATCCATCTCATTCTTCACAAGGAACCCTTCCACCTCAATCCACTCAAACTTAATCCACACACATCCACAAATGGAAACTTCACAAAATGAGAGTCTAGCTTCCCTTACATCGGGTAACTCGGCTCTGAGGTAGAAGAAGAAGAATGATTAGGCCCCACAATGAAATCAACGACTTGATTTAAGGTTTTCACCATCTAAATCACATGCAACATAACTTAGAAAGGAATCAAGAAGAAGATTGAGAGAAAAAAACTCACAAATCAAATACATTCTCTCTAGAATCCTCTCTCTAAAAAGGTAAGGTAAATGAGTTTATGAGAATCCATTCAAATAAAAATTTTATATACTTTTTTCTTCGAGGTCACACTAGGTGTATGGCCAAAAAATTCTCTTCTAATACTACTGAAGTTCAATAGGGATCCTCAAACCCCACGTGCCCTCTTAACATAATCATTTCAACTTTACCTTACAATACAATTAAGAGTAATATAACTATTACAACTCATAATATTACAGAAATGTGGATTCAAAGAAATAAAATACTAATTTAGCTATTTTATTTTCTAATATTTATTTCAATTTTTTAAATTATCTATTTGGTTCTTATATTTTCATATATTTTATTTTTTAATTATTATAATTAAAAATATATATTTTAGTCTATATATATCATTTTTTAATTTATTTTAGTTTTTATCGTCTATTCTTATAAAAATTAAAATGGTAAAGTTTATAAGATTATAAAAATTAAAATAAAAATATTTTTAATTATAAAAATTAAAATTCATAAAAATATAATCTCAAAAGATTAATTAAATCTTTCAAATTTTATGAATGAATCGCATCCGTCCATGTGACGGAAAGAATGACGTATATAGATAATTATTATTTGCAAAACGTGTCACGCGGGGAACTGCTAAAAAAATATTTAGCTCGTGGCAATATGAATAATTAAGAATGACAAGTAATTCTCGAACAGAGTCTGACTAAATGGAACTCCATCAGCAGCCATCTGTCCTAAAACTATTAACTACAGTACCATCTGTCCTAAAACTATTAACTACAGTACGTGTATATTACGTAAATTGAACACTTTATTTCGTTACCATAATTTGCCAAATCTTAAAAATAATAAATGAAAAAGATGAATAAAAGGAGAAAGATGAAAGTGTTTTAAAAATCAGATTGGATCGGTTAAACTAGGAACCGGTAGTCTAGTTAGTCCGAATCTTGAATTGGATCGATTATGCATTCTTCTCATTTTTAAATCAAAGTGAACTAATTAGTTTTTCGATTCAACTAGTGAATAGGTAGGTTGAACTGGTAGGTCAAACCGATTCAACTAAAAAAAATTTAAATAACTTTTTTTATATATGTTTATTTATATAAAATAAAAATAAAGATATTTTTAAATAAGGTGAAAATTAAAATTTAAACTAGGAATATTTTATAAGTATAAAATATATTTAACACGAAATTTTTTTTAAAAATTAATAAAAATCGGGTCATGCGATTTAATTAATGATCTACCTGTTCAACCTTTAACCCAATAATTCATTATTCTAATCGATTTGATTACCTATCCAATTTTTAAAACTATAATGAAATAAGACTGAGAAAAGTGAGAGAGGGAGAGAGAAGAGAAGCTAAGATATGAAGAAAGAGAGGAACAAGAAAGATGAGAGAAAAAAAGAGAACATGAGAGAAAAACAAGTAAGGGAGGAGAGGAGATTCAAAAAAGAGAGAAAAGAAAGAAATAAGAAAAATAGAAGGAAAAAAATGTCATGTAAAATTTCAAAAATTCTTGTAAAATTGTTCAATAAGTGAATTATATTTAAATTTTAATTAAAAAATCTCATTAATTAATTATTCAAAAAGAACCTCTACTTTTTTTAAGTATCAACAAACTTTTTTTAATAAAAAATGTCTTAATTAAATAATACTAAATTGTGAAGGACTCCTAAATGAATTATAATTATCTAAATTAAATATTACAAAACTTTTTTATATTAAAAAATATATTGATTAAATACCACAAAATTATTTTATAGTAAAAAAACATTTAAATTCCATTAAAATTCTAATATAATATACTTTCTAAAATTTAAAAAAAAAATATTGCTTAAAATTTTTAATAACTTTTGTCATTAATAATCTCTGTGTCCAAAAATTAATTAAATGTTAATAATTTATATAATTATATTTATTTATTATTAATTACTGTAAAAAAATTAATTAATTTTCCACATAAATAATTATGCATGACAATCAATAACTTCGTAACAATATAAATAACTTGAAGTGAAATTAACCATTATTTAATATTTAAATAATATCATGAAACTAGTAAGTACATCACTTTTAACTTAAAGAACTCAAACTTAATATCTTTCCTAAAGATTTTAGTATTCCTCAAAATAACAACTTGTTAATAAAAATCACATATTAACAATAATATAAAATTAGTTCTATTTTTAATAAACAATTAATTACCCTTACTTATCTCTAATTACTTACAAAATAAAATTATTTATATTTCTACGCGTAATTAACCACTTATAGTTGTTGAGTGTAGCAATCCATCTAAATACTATTTATCATTTCATTTATCCATTTTTTTTAATAAATTATATACATTATTTAGAGCATCTTCAATGCTAGGTTCTTATCCAGTTTTTAAATTTAAGCTCCCATTATTTATAAGAAACCTGCATCGGAACATGCTGACATGGCATGTCAAATTGCTAAAATTTAAGCATCGTTGCTTATATAAAAGACGGTTGCCTAAGAATAAAAAAATAATTGAATATTTTCTTCTTTTATTGATGCTAACAACTATAATAATTAAATTTTTAAAATTTATTAAAAAAGAAGTATGAGTGATTAAAAAGTGAAAGTGCTTATAAACAATTTTTATTGAAATAAAAATTATAAAAATATAATATAAATTGCCTATAAGTGACATATCAGTATGAGATCTATTTAAAGTGGATGAGAGTTGCTTATAAACAACTTCCATTATTATAAATGTTCTTATAGAAACAATCTTTTTCCGGTCGCATTTAACTCTCTCACTATTATTTTCCAAACCAATCACGCATGTGTTTCGGAGCAATTTTATAGTAAGCTTATTTAGTTTAAACTAACTTTAAAATATTATATAAACTAATATAGTTAAAACCTGCATTTAGAATAATTTTAATTACAAATTTATACTAAAAATAATTATGAAAAAATAAATTGATTCTTAATATAAAAATAATATTTTTTCATTTTATTTATATATAATTTAAATTAATATTAAATAAATATATTTAATATATAAATTATATTTAAATTAATAAAATATTTTAAATTGCAATATAAAGCTATTTTTAACTACTAACGTTTATTTTAACAAAATTTAAAATATAATTTAAACATAAAGATAAAAATGTAAATTTATATATATATATATATATATATATATAATTTGGTGTGGTTATTATTTTTAATGTTGAAAAATAAAACAGTTTTAAACAATTGAAAAATTAGCTTAAAGCGAGAATAATATGATAAATATACGTTCAAACATGGAAAGTACTTTTCATTTTCCAGTCTTTATTATCAATTATATGTATGTCTTTTTCTTACATTTTGCTAATGTGATAATATTTAATATTCTAAAATAAATATTCACTCTATTTTATTTTTACGGTTATTAATTATACTTCTCATAAGAGATTTGTTAGAATAGAGAGAAAGATCGATTGTATTTATTGTATTTCTTTTATCAATTATGTGTGTGTGTTTTTTTCTCCAGTAAATTACTAAAAAATTTAGTTTGTATTTATAAGCAAAATGGCACGAGAAATGAAATTACTCAAACAAATAAAGAAAGAAAAAAGACCATTTCCGAATAATTATATAACTATACAAGAGCATTGCTAAACGATAGAATTCAAAGAAGCGACTTATGATAATGACGACATCAAGTGCAAATTTTATAAATCCTGAAATTAAATAGTAGGGGTTGATCCACACTTAAATAAGGTTAGTGATTAAAATTCTGTCTTGTGTATATAACTGCATTCAATTTTAGGATCAGCTATCCCACCCACTATCGACGATGAATATTTTAGGGACGAAAAAAAAAATGCAAATTTTATAAGTTAATTAATAAATTTAAAATAAAAAATTTGTCATGATAGGTGTACCGTCATCTCATTATCTAAAATTGAATGATAGGTGTTAAATAGAAAAATGGAGTGGTCCATGAAAATTATCTGCAAACTTTCCCTACATATTAAGGGCAAACCCACTCAATATGCACACAACCTACTTCTAGCTAATACTCTTAACTCTTCCTTCATCATCAATGGCTTTTTCTCAAGACTTGGAGATAGAATCATCTTCTCCCTCCCTGGTGTTTTCAGTGCGGAGGAGTGAACCGGAGCTGGTGGCTCCGGCCAAGCCCACTCCCCGCGAAATCAAGCTCCTATCTGACATAGACTGTCAAGCGGGTTTGCGTGTCCAAATCCCAATCATACAATTCTATCGTCACCATCCATCAATGGTAGGGAAGGATCCGGTTCAAACCATTAAACACGCTCTCGCACAAACTCTTGTGTTTTTCTATCCATTGGCAGGTAGACTTAAGGAAGCTTCAGATGGCAAACTCGCCGTGGATTGTAACCAGCAAGGTGTCATGTTCATTGAGGCCGACGCAGATGTCACACTCCTCCAATTTGGTCATGCTCTTAAACCACCCTTCCCATGCTTCCAAGAACTCCTTTACCAACCTCCCGCTTCACAAGGAATCACAGATACCCCCATTTTTCTCATACAGGTCCAACATATATATCTATATTTTTTTTTTTCTGATAGTTTTTCTTTAAATCACAGTTTGACTTTTATATTCTATATATATCATATAGGTGACGCGTTTGAAGTGCGGTGGTTTCATATTCGCACTCCGTTTTAACCATGCTATGGTTGACGGAGTTGGCTTGATTCGTTTCTTATCTACCGTGGCGGAGATAGCACGGGGAGCGAAACAACCTTCGATTCAAGCCGAGTGGCGCAGGGAGCTTTTAAACGCGAGAGATCCACCACGTGTCACGTTTAACCACCGCGAGTACGAACAACTATCAGACTCCAACGACGTCGTTCCCACGGACTTGGAACAACGTTCGTTCTTCTTCGGAGCCACCGAAATAGCCGCCATCCGCAGCCTGCTTCCCAGCGACCTCGAGCAACACGCCACGACGTTCGAGGTGCTGACATCATACGTGTGGCGCTGCCGCACGAGAGCGCTGCAAATCGATCCAGAGGAAGACGTCCGAATGATGTGCATCGTGGACGCGCGCGGCAAGTTCAACCCTCCCTTCCCGGCGGGGTATTACGGCAGCTGCTTCGCGTTCCCGGCGGCGGTGAGCGGCGCCGGAGAGCTGTGCGAGAAGCCGCTAGAGTACGCGGTGGGGCTGGTACAAAAAGCGAGGGAGAAAGTGAGCGAGGAATACATGCAGTCAGTGGCGGATCTAATGGTGAGTGAGGGACGACCGTTGTTCACGGTGGTGCGGTCGTGTCTTGTGTTGGATACAACTGAAGCTGGGTTTAGGGATGTGGATTTTGGGTGGGGGAAGGCCGTGTATGGTGGGATGGCTATTGCTGGCGCTGGGGCTTTTCCTGCTGTGAACTTTCACGTGCCGAGTCAGAATGCAAAGGGAGAAGAAGGTATACTGGTTTTGGTTTGCTTGCCTAAGCAAGTTACCAAAGCCTTTGCCAAAGAGTTGGATCACAACATGCTTCACCCTTGAGACCAACAAATGTGTGCTTAAGCTTAAAAGACTTTTAAATTTACTATAAATTAAGTTTCGCGCTGTGTCTGGGTGAATTATATATGTAATATGTTCTGTTGTGTACAATCAACTCATTGCGAGTGATATCAAGTTACTTGAATTTGGATTGTTATCATTATTGTACCAAATAAATTTGTCTGTAATTAAACAATATAATTAAATTTGTCGTTGCTGATCACTTGGATCGGCGTTTTGCATACTTCGAGTTCTTCTCAAAATATTTTCATATTTATATCCTAATAACTATATATATATATATATATATATATATAGAGAAAGTCAAGTGAGAGATAATTTATTATGAGAGATGAAAGAGTTAAAATATAACTTTTAGATTAATTTCTTCTCACTTGATTAAACCCTAAATTTTCTCTCACTTAATTAATTTAAGGATTATATTTTAACCATCTCATCGTTTATAATAAATTTCCTCTCACTTGATATGCTCTTTATATATATATATATATATAAAATAAATACTAATTTATGCAATTCATTAATTTAATCAATGACTCACAAATTTAGTAATCTATAATTTATCAATTTAATTAATGACTTGAGTTGATGTATTCATTTCCCTTTTTGGGATTTTTTTTTAAATATTCGGCCAAATATTTAGTAGTATGAAATCAAATGTTGCAAAATTTATTTCTAATAAAAATTGTTATAAAAAAGCTTAAATAATAATTAGATCATTAAAAGTAAAATTTGTTAAATGTTGGATCATTCTATTAGTAAGTTAGTTTGGGTCAATTTATCTAATATTGATATTATTGACCGGTCTTTATGTATATGTGAAAAATTTTCTCATTATTACAATGGATATGAAAAAAAAAAAAAGTTTGTATATACTTTGACTTTTTTTTAATGAAAACTTTGACTCGTAATCACAAAAATATTGTGCACACTCTTGAAAAAACTATCTTTAAAAAAATTATTGGAAGATTTGTTTTATAGAAAAAGATGATATTTTTATTTTATTTTTACAAAAGTTTCTTTTACTTTGCAGAAGTCATATATATATATATATATATATAGATAAATAGATAGATAGATAGATAGATAGATAGATAGATAAATAGAGAGAGAGGAGGCCGGGTGAGATTGGTATTTTTTTCAAAAATAATTTTATCAATAATTTATAATATATAATTATAATATAAAATATATTAAAATACTTTGTAAACCAATGTAGATAGGTAAATCAAAATGTTTATTAAATATTAAAAAGATAAAAAAAAACTATTCTTATTTTTTTATTAGTATTCAATGATATCTAATATTTATAGGATTTTCAAATGCTCAGAGTCTTTCTTTTCTTATAAAAGTAATTCAAGTTTAGATGTATGTAGAGGAAAGTCGTGCCTAATGAAAAATGTAAGCATGATTTGGATATAGATTTTTTCTTGTTTTTCTTGTTGAATTTCATTAATAGTGTGTTTGGATGAGGAATTTAAATGGAGTAATTCATTTATTTGAAGAATTTCAAATTCTTTGAAGTAAAATACCTTGTTTGGATGAAGAATTTATAAGGAATTTGAAATTCAAGCATTTGTGAAATTCATTGAAATAGTAGAATTTCAAATTCTCCCAAAAAAATAAGAATTTGAAATTCCTCATCTTTTTTTCTTTTTTATTTCCCTTATATATTTTATATTATCTCTTATCTCTTCATATTTTTAATTACTGAATATTCAAAAATATTTTTAAAATTATTAAATATTATCTAATATTAATTTTTAAAATTATTAAATATTTAAAAATTATCTAATATTTATTTTTATAAAATTTAATTTAAGAATCTCAACATATAAATATATTTTTAAAATTAAATTTACCATGGTGGAATCAAATTATCATATCCAACCCAACAATTTAAAATTTGAGAAATTTGAATTGACTTATCCAAACAAAATATTTTAAGAATGATGGAAATTGAAATCAAAGTAATTCAAATACCAATAATTTAAAATTCCTTGAATTTGTAAAATTTCTCATCCAAACACACCATAAAAAAATTCATCTACTTCACCTGGCTAATTCTGAATTTGAGTCGCAAATAACCCATTATCGATTACTATTCCAATAAAGATATCAAATAACAATTTATGAGGTCGATAAGTATTCGACCTGACCAAACATCTCATCGTAATTATGACAAAGAATAACGTTCAATTGTTGCAAGACAAAAAACCATTGAATACACTTAATGACCAAACATTATTTTACTTTTACTTATAAGAGTTAATCACCTATACACTGTCAGTCTAAAGTTTGTTTAGACTGACAACCAATTATATCTTTTAATTGTGTCATGTCATTGTTAAAAATAAATGTGTTTATAGTAACATGACACAATTAAAAGATATAATTAGTTGTTAGTGTAAAAAAATTATACACTAACAATATATAAGTGATTAACTCTACTTATAAATATACTTGCATCGGACATAAAGTATATAATCTTACATAATACATCAGAACAGTCTCGAATACTTGATAACTTTGACATTATAGTCCTTTTTGTGAATACAACCAATATTTGACACTTGAAGACCGAAAATCAAGGACATTTAATAGAAGACTTCTTGCTTTTACTTTTCAACAAATACAATATGTACATATTATAGTGATCTATATAAATATATTTTTTAAATAAATGAAATTAGAAAATAATATTTTTTTGGATACTTCTAAATAAATGATACGGTGCTTATAACATAAACAAACTTAGTGTTGTAAATATTTTTGTAAAATGAATTTCTTTTTAAAAGTTGAAAATTTAAATAATAATTTGGGGGTGTGAATAGCAACATTTTAAAGTTTTTTTTTGAACTTTATGGATTTATTAACGGGCTTTGAACACCGTTTAGCCCAAAGCTGCTCCTCTAGTTTTCTTCCATCGATCCATGTCCTCCACACGTGTGTCTCGAAGCGTAGCGGATCTATGCCTTTCTCCCGGGCTCAAGATCTACGAGCACTGCACTTCCCTCCCCGTGTGGTGAAACTTCATAACAACCGATCACAGTGACAAGAGTCTTCACTCCATCTACGCACTTCCGAGATGGCTTTCATGGCGGTCTTGGAATCCGACCTCCGCGCTCTCTCCGCCGAAGCTCGCCGTCGCTATCCCGCTGTTAAAGACGGCGCAGAGCATGCCATCCTCAAGGTTACTCTTCGATGCTCATGTTCCGTTTCGCATTAGTGCTTTTCAATTGTATCTGGTTTTAGCTGTTTGTGACCTCCGAGATTCTGCTGCATTGCGATTCGATTTTGGAAATAAGAAGGTTGTGCCGCGGTGTTTGGTTATTTTAAGGAACTGATTTTGTGGGAAGAAAATGTGACCGTAGGAATCTCAATTTCTACTTATCGGCTAGTAGATCATCGCAACTATTGAAATGGCGTTACTGGATTGAGTTTTCGCTTTAGTTTGAAGTAACCTCGATGCTTGACGCTTGGTTACTCGGAAAATGAGGAGCGTGTGATATTTTATATTTTATATTTTTTTAATTTTAATGATGCTTGAATCAATATTTAAGGAAGCGGCTTTCTGAATTTATTCTGTTAGATGCAGAAGTGTAATACTAAAAATAAGCAGTTTTCGAAGGACACTCTGTATGCACGTTTTGTCCATTTTATTTTCTAGATAAGGAAATGGCTATTATAAAATCTTTACACTTCTTATTTTTCACTTGCAGCTTCGTTCATTGTCAAGTCCTAGTGAAATTGCACATAATGATGACATATTACGAATCTTTTTGATGGCGTGTGAGGTCCGAACAGTCAAGCTTAGCATTATTGGACTTTCGTGTTTGCAGAAACTGATATCTCATGATGCTGTTTCTCCATCTGCCCTAAGGGAGATTTTATCTACTCTGAAAGATGTAAGCTTAGATAACTAGTTAGATAATATGATGATGATCTAAAAGCATTCAGCTGGACCTTACTTTTGGCTCTACCCTTTGACCATGTTGATTGTAACGCAGTGTTTGTTTTGTTGGCCAAGCCATGTTTATTTATAGATACTATCAAATTTTTTACTTGTAGATTTATGCAAGAGCTAGTACATTATGTTTAAGTTTTATTCTAGTGGGAAGGCTAACTCATGTATCAATAACCTGCCAATCTTTCTTTTTCTTGTCCTGTGGCCTTTGCAGCACGCTGAAATGGTGGATGAGGGTGTTCAGCTTAAGACTCTTCAAACAATATCAATAATATTTCAATCACGTTTGCATCCAGAAAATGAGGCAAGTTTCAACTACATGAACTATGAGTGCTATTTTACTGTATATTGACTGAATTAAAGCTGGACCTGAAAGTTGTCTAGTAAGCTGACTGTACTCTGATAAGATTGATCTTATTCAATTAAGAGTGTAATAGACTAAAATAAGGATAGTGTGACATGGAATGTGTGATACAGTTAACACCTAGGAGGCATAGATATGATATGTGCATCTAAATTCCAAAACCATATCAAACAAATGTTGATTTTATGTGGTCTCCATGCATTTGATAGATTATTTGTGTCAAATCTTGTAAGTATTGTAGACAGAACAACAACTTTAGCCTGGGAGGGACCTTCACTTTAGAAAGGAACTTAATTATGGCTTGAAGGATTATGAACTAATATTTTCTCAAAGATTTCCAGGAATGACCCTGAAGATTCTCTGTTTTGCATGTGTTGAAAAGTTGAAATCCTTTGCATTTCATTACTTTATCCTAAATCCAGAGACTTACACTGTAACATGCTTTCTTAAAATATATACCATTATGCATTGTAACTATAGCAATTAGGGAAGCATCTAGAGTCTATCTTCCACCCCAAAGCCACATTTTAGTAGTGGAAATTCCATCTTCAAACTCCTTCCCCATTCTCAAGGACTAAGCCTTAGCTAAAGTCTGAAAGGACTGGACCAGAAATAGGATAAAAAGATAGATTTATCGCACAAATTTCCCAACATAAGTGGTATAGGTTGAATGGTAATTCATTGTTGTTTTTTGTTCATTGATTCTGTATGCATCTATGCATAGAAAGACAAATATGATGGTATAACATCATTATTAAAAGATATATCATTTGATTTTAAGGTTAAATTTTTTATACACCGTGGTTTTTAGGGAATTGGGGTGGGACAAACTATGTGTTGATTTTTCAA